TTTCCCTCTCTCTCATCAAATTATAATAAATAAATAAGGTTAAATAAAATAATAATAAAAAAAACTGTTAAAAAATAATTACTTTATTTAACTGTCTTTCTTTTTTTCTTCCTTTCTTTTTTCCTTCCTTCCTTTCTTTATTTATTTTAATTTGACCAGAGAGGGACAGAGTGAGAGAGAGAGAGGGAAAGTGAGAAAGCAAGCTGCCAGGTCCAGAACTCAAACCACAGTCATGTGGGAGTCCAGAGCCCTTAACCATCAGGCAATCTTCCAGCCCCTATTTTTATTTTAAATGTTATATAAGGCACATGCATTCATCAGAGAGACAGAGAAAGAGAGAGAAGGAAAGCAAGAAAGGAAGCTGCCAGGTCTGGAATTCAAACTGCAGGTGGCCATGTGGAAGTCCAATGCCTGAACCACTATGCCACCTGCTAGCCTGCTATCTGACTCCTTTAACCACTAAACTACCAGGTCAAGCCCCAATTTTACTTCTTTTAAGCAGTGAATCACATTTTCTAAGGGACAATTATAAGTAGCTAAGCTGATTCATTTCATACTGAGTTGGTATGTAATTCTCATCTTTCTGGGATACGCTTCAGAATAGCCCCAAGGCACTGCCTATAGGTGCCCCTTTTTTCAGTTTTTGTAGTAGTCCACATGTGGTCACTGAAGAGAGACAGGGGATGGGAGGACTGAAAAAGTGCCACTCGGGGAGACGGCCATACCACAATCCCTCTTCCTCCATCCTCCTCTTGGAATTTTTAGCATACTCACATAAGCACCTGGCATGTTATTCAAGCTGCCGGGGTCCAGAACTCAAACCACACAGTTGGCCATGTGGGATCCAGCCATCTTAACCACCATGCCACTGGCTGGCCCTCTAGGTGTCTTATTTTTACCTTATTTCTAGATACTTCCTAACTAATCATAATGTATTAGAGGGCAGTGACAATAATTACACATTGGAAAAACTTTCTATAATTTATAAATGGGGGACTGCAGGTGGTGTGGTAGTTAAAGCGCTGCACTCTCACATGGCTAATTGCGATTCCATTCCTGGCCCTGGCAACTTGAAAATCACACGAGGCACGTGTGCATGCATGTCTAAAATCCCAGGAGGAGAATAGAGCAGAAGGGATTGTGGTGTGGCCATCCCCCCGGAGGTGATTTTTAATTTTCTTTCTCACTCCCTCTCTCTGGCAAGTGCACATGCCCTATGGCAAAAACCTAAAATAAAAAAAGAAAGGAAAAGAAAGAAAAAAGAAAAAAATTGATAAATTGTTATAAGCTTCTTTTCCCTCACAAAAACATCAAGGTAAAACTATTCATGCTAAAATTCTCCCCCTGTCTTATTTATTTATTTATTTTTAATTTTGCTATAAGGCATGTGGGCTTATCAGAGAGATAAAGAGAGGAAGATATGGAAAGTCAGCAAACACCTCCATGGTGGATGGCGGATGATGGAGGATTGCCATACCACAGTTCCTTCTCCTCCATTCACCTCTTGGGATTTGTTTTTTGTTTTGTTTAAGAGTTTTTTATTTAGGGACCAGCAGGTGGCATAGTGGTTAAGGTGCTGGACTCCCATAGAGCTGACTAGGGTTCAAGTTTCAGACCCAGTGGCTTGAAACTCAGGCCAAGTGTGCATGCACGTGTGCCCAAAATCCTGAGAGGAGAATGGAGGAAAAGGGATGCGGCATGACCACCCCTGTGGGGGTTGATTTCTCACTTTGTCTCTCTGTCTCTCTCTAGTAAGCACATGTACCCTATAGCAAAAAATCTGTTTCTTAAAAAAAAAAATTTATTAGGACCAGGAGGTGGCATGGTGGTTAAAGTGCTAGACTCCCACATGGCCAGCCATGGTTCAAGCCCCGGACCTGGTTGCTTGCTTTGTCACTCTCTCTCTCTCTCTCTCTCTCTCTCTGTATGTGTGTGTCTTTCTCTAGTCATATTAAAAATAAATAAATGAATAAATAAAATTAAAATAATTTAAAATAAAGTTAAAATAATTCTTTTTTTTTTTTTTTTGAGAGGTTTTTGCTACATTGGGCACGCACGCACACGCGCCCGATGTGAGTTTAAGCCACCGGGTCTGGGATTTGAACCGTGGTCGACTACATGGGAGTCCACCAACATAGCCATTACACTAACTGCTGGTCCCAAAATAATTCTTTTTTAAAAAGAATTATTTATCTACCATTTTTTTTTTTTAAGTTTGCTATAGGGCATGTGCACTCACCAGAGAGAGACAGAGAGACAGGAAAAATGAAAAAATAAGATGCCAGCTCTGGGACTTGAACCATGCTCAGCCATGTGGGAGTCCAGCATCTTAACCATCACACCACCTGCTGGCCATGCTGCTGTGTTTTTGCAAGATGCTGCGTCTGGAACTCAAATCTTGCAATCAACCTTATGGGATCCAGCATGCCCCTCCCCCTGCCTTTTTACATTTTTTTTTTCTTTTTATGAAATGTGAAAACTGAAGTTAAGAAAAGTAAATGGACAAATTGACCTACCCAAACTTGCACAACTAGTCAATGGCATGTCTGGGTTCTGATCTTGTAGTCTCCATTCATCACATTTCGGCCTCTGGGTGACCATACTTAATATTCTCTTCTATGCCCCAAAGCACCACATGTTAGACAGTCAATAAACAATTACGAAGGTTCATTATCATAATTATAAGCCAATGAGTCCTAATTCTTACTGTATGCATATTAATTATCGGCTATATTTTTCAACAAACAGTAAGTGGTTCTTACCTGATACTATACTAGATTGGTGTTTCTCAAGTCATGGCCCCTGGAATGCATGGACTAGAGTTACTTAGGGTGCTTGTCGAAGCCATAGGTTCCTGGGTTTTTCTCCAATTGTGTTGAATCAATTCCTAAGGAAGGAGCCCAGAAACATGAATTTTAACAGGCTTCTCACATAAGAATTAATGACACTGAAGTTTTTTTAAAAAAAAGAATTATTTAATTTTATTTATTATTATTATTATTATTATTTTATTTGACCAGTGAGACAGACAGAGAGAGGGAAAGTGAGAAAGCAAGCCACCAGGTCCAGGACTCAAACTGTGGTCGGCCATGTGGAAAAGTCAGTACCTTTAACCACCACGCCGCCTGCCAGCCCCCCAGTATGATTTTTCAAGCTGCTGGGTCTGAGACTTAAACCACAGCTTTATAGGATCCAGCCATTTTAACTTCCATGTTACCTGCTGGTCCCATACCATTGATTTGATAATAGCTTCTGAAGAAAAGAGTGGCTTTCTAACTTTTTTAAGATTTGTTTTCTTTTTTCATAATAGAGTACATATGTGTGCATGTGAGAATGAGAAAAAGACAGAGAGAGAGGTGAGTACCCTTCACAGGGTCTGGTCACAGAACCATCCCCTTCCTCCAGTCCTCCAGCTTGAAGAATCTTAGACATTCATGTATATGTCTATGCCTAGGTATTTCAAGCTGACCAGGCTAGAGAGTTGAACCTCAGTTGCCTTTTATTTATTTATTTTTAATTAATTTTTTGAGAAGTTTTTGCTATAGGGCATGTACGCTCGCCAGAGAGACAGAGAGACAGAAAGCAAGAATCACCCCCCAGGGGGAATAGCCATGCCACAATCTCTTCTCCTCCGTTTTCCTCTTGGGATCTTGGGCATGCACACACATGCACCTAGGTTGATTTTAAACCATCCCATCTGGGACTCAAGTCACAGTGGACTACGTGGGAGTCCAGCAACATAACCATTACGTCATCTGCTGGTCCCACTTTTTTTCTTTTTGAGAGAGTTTTTCTATAGGGCAAAGGTGTGGCCAGAGAGACAGAGACAGAGACAGAGTGAAAAATCATCCCCCCAGGGGGGATGGCCGTGCCACAATCCCTCTTCCTCCTGTCTCTTCTTGGGATTGTGGGCACGCATGCACACACGTCTGGTGTGAGTTTGAAGCTTCTGGGTCCAGGATTTGAACCACAGTTAGCCATGTGCAAGTCCAGCACCTTAACTACTACACCACCTGCAAAACGCTCCCCCCGCCCCAGCTTCTCTCTTTTTTTTTTTTTTTTGGAGAGGTTTTCGCCATAGGGCATGTGCGCTCGCCAGACAGAAAGAGAGAGACAGAGAGACAGAAAGCGAGAAATCACCCCCCAGGGGGGATGGCCACGCCGCAATCCCTTCTCCTCCATTCTCCTCTCGGGATCTTGGGCACACATGCACACGTGCCTGGCATGAGTTTTAAGCCACCAGGTCCAGGACGCGAACCGTGGTCGACTACATGGGAGTCCAGAGACATAGCCATTACGCTAACTGCTGGTCCCTCCCCCAGCTTCTCTTGACCAGCACATTATGCCTGTACTACAGAACTATGCCTTCTAATTTTTCTAAAATGAATATGTTTAAGTTTTGTACTAAGAAACCAAAATTATGTATTTACATTGAACATTTTAAAATGTTTTAAGTGGGACCTATTGATTATGAGGAAAATACAAAATTACTTGAGTATTTTAAGCCTAGATGACTGAGAAACCGATATTTTTTAAATAATTATTTAAACTTTATTTATCATCATTATTATTATTTAGAGTGATTTTTGCCATAGGGCATGTGCACTCGCTGAAGAGATGGAAAGAGACAGAGAGACAGAAAATGAGAAATGATCCCCCCACCTGGGGGGATAGCCATGCCACAGTCCCCTCTCCTCCATTCTCCTCTTGGGATTTTGAGCACGCATGCACATGCACCCAGTTTGAGTTTTAAGCTGCTGAGTCTGGCACTCGAACCGTGGTCGACTGTGGGAGTCGAGTGATGTAACCATTATGCCATCTGCTGGTCCTTTATTATTTTTTACTTTGACCTGAGAGAGACAGACACATACACACACACACACACACAGAGAGAGAGAGAGAGAGAGAGAGAGAGAGAGAGGAAAAGTGAGAAAGCAGCCACCAGGTCTAGGACTCAAACCACAGTCTGCCTGTGGGAGTCCAGCACCTCAATCACTGTTCCACATTAAAGTGACCACCTGCTGTCCTGAGAGGCTGATATTAATGTGAAAAAAACATAAGACCAGAAGAGGGGAAATATCTGGCGATCAGAATAATAAATATAGTTTTAGACATGACTTTGAAGATCCATCTGTCTATGCACATGCGCGCGCGCACACACACACACACACACACACACACACACACACACAGAAACACACACTTCAAGGGAAAGTATATGGGGGGGGGAATAGCCAAAAAAGTTTCCTCCAGGCCCCAGCTTGGGGTTCCTTGTTTCCCTGTGGCAGGACACCAGGGTTCAGACTTTACCTTCTCAACCTCACCAGGAGGTGGAGGTAATGGGCCAGGAGGACCAGAGCTGGGATGGGTTGACCCTTGGACCAGGCAAATTTTCCAAGGCCCTCCTGGTGGGCCAAGAGATGCGAGAGATTTTTCCATTGTCCCCGCACCCCCTGAGTTGTGCAGAGGCTACTGTGGCCTCCAGCTGGAGTGGAGCTGGTGCCCTGAGGCAGCCTGGAGGGCCTCCCAGCCCTAGAGTAAGATGGGAGCCAGCAAGGGGGAGGGCAACTCAGAGGTGGCCTCCGGGAGCCCTGTGTTACCCCTCCTGGTGATATGAAGCTAGAGCAAAACCTTAAGGAGTCCAAAACATCAAAGCTCTGCAAAAAGAACTAAAAGAATTTGCCAAACTCCTGGAGCATAAGAGGATCAGCCTAGGATATAATCAGGCTGGTGTGGGGTATGCCCCCCCACCCCTCCACATCCTCCCAGGGGAGTAATGTCTTACTTTCCTTCTCTCTGTGTGTCTCCTGCAGAACACACTTGCCCGATGGCAAAAATCTAAGGAAAACACACACACACACACACACAAATTTCATGCATCACCAAAAACCTCCCATTGTATTATAACACAGAAGCGGCGACGAGCACCAGTGAAAGCTACTGTCTTTTCTATTATCTAACAGTTGTTATTGTACACTGCTGTAGGCCACAGGCCTGTTTTTGAAGAGGGAAGTCCTACCTGAGGAAAGAAGGAGGCAGGTATGACATTACTATATCAGATCCAATAACAGAACTTTAACCATTGGCATATACAAGGGGATAGGGATTCTGAGCCAAAGGTAATAGGAGAGGGTCTTCAAAAAGTTCATGGGAGGGAACCAGCAGTTAGCATAATGGCTATGGTGCTGGACTCTCACATAGTCGACCGCGGTTCATGTCCCGGACCCGGTGGCTTAAACTCACACCGGGTGCGTGTGCGTGCGTGCCCAAGATCCCAGGAGGAGAATGGAGGAGAAGGGATTGCGGTGTAACCATCCCCCCCTGGGGGGTGATTTCTCGCTTTCTATCTCTATGTCTCTCTCTGTCTGTCTGGCGAGCGCACGCGCCCTATAGCGAAAACCTCTCAAAAAAAAAAAAAAGTTCATGGGAAATGTGTATGTATTTCATTTTTTGGTACCAAAATAAATTTGTATTTTACTTGGGGTTTTCCAAGAAATTTTGGAAGTATCTTCAGTTATTCATTGAATTCATTCCTGCAACTTACCTGGACCCATATTTAGGTCTTACTTTAAAAGAGGACTACATAGGGGCTGGCAGGTGGCATGGTGGTTAAGGTGCTGCATTCCCATGTGGCCGACTGAGGTTTGAATCCCAGACCTGAGAGCTTAAAAATCACACCAGGCACCTGTCCATGCATGCCCAAAGTCCTGAGAGGAGAATGGAAGAGAAAGGACTGTGACACGCCACGCCCCTGGGGTAGTGATTTCTCACTTTCCCTTCTTCTGTCTCCAGTGAGCACATGAGCCCTCTGACAAAAACCTTTTTAAGAAGGACTGCATAAGTAAAATGAGAAGTGTTTTACTAATACTGGAGCATATTAGGGCTATAATAAAAGGGCAAATAAGGTTATTTTCCTCTAGTCACCAGCATGTCTCTTTACCACCACCAGGACAGACGAGCATCTGGTAAAGCAGCAGGGAGTAGAAGCAGCACCTGGTGGGATATCATACAATTGGATTTGTTTCTGAACAGGTGTGGGACTCCTCATGGGGGCTCTCAGAAATAATTGAGTCGGCGATGTACTTTGCAGGAGGCTGGAGTTTCTGCAATCATTTGAAGGCCAGAACCAGGGCGATTGGAGTTACATATAAACCTTTCATTTTAACTCAGAATTTTCTCACATATTTTGAATAGAAAACTGAAAGAGAGGAGTAAGGGTCTCTATGCCCTGCACCTGTGCAGTCTTCTGTTCCGAGCTCATTTGGATGCATCTAACAAAAAAGAACCATCCATTTATCTTTTGTAGCACTCTCAACATAATAAAACCAATGTTTGAATTATGGTTGTTACAGGTTTATGGAGGATAAGATGAAGAAGACACCACAGGCTGGGAAATAATTCGAATTCGGCTACACTCGAGTAAGGACATACGGAAGGCTGTAGAGGGAATGAAAGAAAAGGGTTATACAATAGCACCAAGACTTCATAGGCAAAATAATAATCAGTAAACTAGGGTCACAGTCAACAATGATACGAAGTTGGGGCCAGCAGGTAGCACGGTGGTTAAGACACCGTATGCCCTCATGGGCAACCATGGTTTGAGTCCCAGACCTGGCAGCTTGAAAATCACACCAGCCACATGTGCGTGCATGCCCAAGATCCCAGGAGGAGAATGGAGGAGAAGGGATTACAGTGTGGCCATCTCCCCTAGGGGGGTTATTTCTCACTTCCCCTCTCACTGTCTCTCTCTCTGGCTCTCTTTCTAGCAAGTGCATGCACCCTATGGCAAAGACCTAAATAAATAAATAAAGACATGAAGGGGACCCGCAAGTGGCGTGGTGGTTAAGGGCACTGGACTCCCATATGGCCAACCAAGGTTCGAGTCCT